CCTGACCCGATACCAGAAGTTCCAATAGAGAGCATTTGATCGAAGAGATGGGCAGACGCCAAGGCAAGACCTCCTCCAGCAATCTGAAAAACAACATGAAAATATCAGATCCCACTGACCCTACAACAGAAGGATTTGAACACTCTAACCCAGATGAAGTGGAAAAAAGTGCCATTATGAAAGCAATAGAGTCCCTTAAACAGGATATGAATAACTCCCTTAAGGAACTGGTCGAGAAGTATAACAAAAAGTTTGAAGAAATGAGTATAGAAATGGATGAGAAATATAACAAAAAGTTTGAAGAAATAAGTAAATCCGTGAGTGATACCCTGAGAAACCAAGAAAAAACAATCAAACAAGTAAAGGAAACAGTCCAAGAATTGAAAACTGAAATGGAGGCAATGAAGAAAACACAAAACAAGAACCGGCTGGAAATGGAAAACCTAGGTAAACGAGCGGAGACTACAGAATCAAGCATAACCAATAGAATACAAGAGATAGAAGAACGAATCTCAGATTCTGAAGATACCATAGAGAAAATAAATGCTCTGGTCAGAGAAAACGGCAAATCCAACAAATTCTCTTCACAAAACATTCAGGAAATCTGGGACACAATAAAAAAACCAAATCTAAGAATAATAGGGATTGAAGAAGGAGAAGAACTGCAGATCGAAGGCCCAGAAAATATATTCAACAAAATTATAGAAGAAAACTTTCCCAACCTAAAGAACGATATTCCTATGAAGGTTCAAGAAGCATACAGAACACCGAATACACTGGATCAGAAAAAAAAACATCCCCTCGCCATATAATAATCAAAACACAAAACATACATATTAAAGAAAAAATTTTAAGAGCTGCAAAGGAAAAAGGTCAAGTAACTTATAAAGGTAAACCTATCAGGCTTACACCGGATTTCTCTATGGAAACCATGAAAGCCAGAAGATCCTGGATAGAGGTACTGCAGAAACTAAGAGACCATGGATGCAAACCCAGACTACTATACCCAGCCAAGCTATTGTTCACTATCAACGGAGAAAACAAAATATTCCAGGATAAAAACAAATTTAAACAATACGTAGCTACTAATCCAGCCTTACAGAGAATATTAGAAGGAAAATCACTACCGAAGGAATCCAACATTCCCAACACGATCTACAATAACTCGAACATCTAGCGACCATTCACAAGCACAAATCAAAGAAGGAAAACACATACACTCTACTACCTAAAAAAAAAAAAAATGACCGGAGTCAACAACCACTGGTCATTAATATCACTTAATATCAATGGACTCAATTCACCTATAAAGAGGCACAGACTTAGAGATTGGATACGAAAACAGGATCCAACATTCTGCTGTTTACAAGAAACATACCTCAACCACAAAGACAGACACTTACTCAGAGTAAAGGGTTGGGAAAAGGTTTTCCAAGCAAATGGACCTAAGAAACAAGGGGGCGTGGCCATTCTAATATCTAACAAAATCAACTTCAAACTAAAATCAATCAGAAGAAATGGAGATGGACATTTCATACTCATAACTGGAACAATTCATCAGGAGGAAGTCTCAATCCTGAATATCTATGCTCCTAATATAAAGGCACCCACATATGTAAAAGAAACTCTTCTAGAACTCAAGGCGGTCATCAAACCACACACACTAATAGTAGGAGACTTCAACACTCCTCTCTCACCAATGGACAGGTCAATCAGACAGAAACCAAACAGAGAATTGAGAGACCTATTGGAGGTATTGAATCAAATGGACTTAACAGACATCTATAGAACACTCCACCCAAATAGGAAAGAATATACCTTTTTCTCTGCAGCTCATGGAACCTTCTCGAAAATTGACCACATACTCGGTAACAAAGCAAACTTCCACAGATACAAAAAAAATATTAGTAACTACCTGTGTCTTGTCAGATCACCATGGACTAAAATTAGAATTCAACAACAATGCTCCCCCCAGGAAGCCAACAAACTCATGGAAACTGAACAGTCAACTACTAAATCACCCCTGGGTCAAGGAAGAAATAAAGAAAGAAATTAATCTCTTCCTTGAATTTAATGAAAACAAAGACACAACATACTCAAACCTATGGGACACTATGAAAGCAGTGCTAAGAGGAAAGTTCATAGCACTAAGTGCCCAATTAAAGAAAGCGGAGAAAGCACACATTGGAGACTTAACAGCACACTTGAAAGATCTAGAAAAAAAAGAAGCTGATTCACCCAGGAGGTCTAGAAGACTGGAAATAATCAAACTGAGGGCTGAAATCAACAAAATAGAAACAGAGAAAACAATCCAAAGAATCAATGAATCAAAAAGCTGGTTCTTGGAGAAAATCAACAAGATTGACAAACCCCTATCCAAGTTAATCAAACGGCAGAGAGAGAACATGCAAATTAATAAGATCAGAAATGAAAAGGGGGACATAACCACAGACACAGAGGAAATTCAGAGAATCATTAGATCTTACTATGAAAGTTTATATGCCACAAAGTTGGAAAATGTAAAAGAAATAGACATTTTTTTAGATAAGTACCATATACCAAAGTTGAACCAAGAACAGGTGAACAATCTAAATAGACCTGTTAGTAGCGAAGAGTTAGAAGCTGTTATCAAAAATCTCCCTACCAAAAAAAGCCCAGGACCAGATGGTTTCAATGCAGAATTCTACCAGAACTTCCAGGAAGAGCTAATACCTATACTCCTTAACGTATTCCACAATATAGAAACAGAAGAGTCACTGCCTAACTCCTTTTATGAAGCTACAGTTACCCTAATACCAAAACCACACAAAGACACAACCAAGAAAGAGAATTACAGGCCAATCTCACTCATGAACATCGACGCGAAAATTCTCAATAAAATACTGGCAAACCGAGTCCAAGAGCACATTAGAAAAATTATCCATTATGATCAAGTCGGCTTCATTCCAGAGATGCAGGGCTGGTTCAACATACGCAAATCTATCAATGTAATCCATCATATAAATAAACTGAAAGAAAAAAACCATATGATCATTTCATTGGATGCTGAAAAAGCATTTGACAAAATTCAACACCCATTTATGATAAAGGTGTTGGAGAGACTGGGGATACAAGGATCATACCTAAATATAATAAAAGCAATATACAGCAAGCCGACAGCTAACATCAAACTGAATGGAGAGAAACTCAAAGCCTTTCCACTAAAATCAGGAACGCGACAAGGCTGTCCACTCTCTCCATACCTCTTCAATATAGTGCTTGAAGTTCTAGCAATAGCAATAAGACAACATAAGGGGATCACGGGGATTCGAATTGGAAAGGATGAAGTTAAACTTTCGTTATTTGCTGACGATATGATAGCGTACATAAGCGACCCCAAAAACTCTACCAAAGAACTCCTACAGCTGATAAACACCTTTAGTAATGTGGCAGGATACAAGATCAACTCCAAAAAATCAGTGGCCCTACTATACACAAAGGATAAAGAAGCAGAGAGGGAAATCAGAGAAGCATCACCTTTCATGATAGCCACAAATAGCATAAAATATCTTGGGGTTACTCTAACCAAGGAAGTGAAAGACCTATTTGACAAAAACTTTAAGTCCTTGAAGAAAGAAATTGAGGAGGATACCAGAAAATGGAAAGACCTTCCCTGCTCTTGGATTGGGAGAATCAACATAGTAAAAATGGCAATTCTACCAAAAGCAATCTATAGATTCAATGCAATCCCCATCAAAATCCCATCAAACTTCTTCACAGACCTTGAGAGAACAATAATCAAGTTTATATGGCAAAACAAAAAACCCAGGATAGCCAAAACAATCTTATACAATAAAAGAACTTCTGGAGGCATTACCATCCCTGACTTCAAACTCTATTATAGAGCTACAGTATTGAAAACAGCTTGGTATTGGCATAAGAACAGAGAAGTCGACCTATGGAATCGAATAGAAGACCCAGATATTAACCCACAAACTTATGAACACCTAATTTTCGACAAGGGAGCTAAAGGTATACAATGGAAGAAGGAAAGCATCTTTAACAAACGGTGCTGGCATAACTGGATGTCAACCTGTAAAAAAATGAAAGTAGATCCATATCTATCACCATGCACAAAAATCAAGTCCAAATGGATTAAAGACATCAACATTAATCCATCCACTTTGAACCTGATAGAAGAGAAAGTGGGAAGTAGTCTACAAGATTTAGGCACAGGAGGTCTCTTCCTAAGTAGGACCCCAGCAGCACAGACAATAAGAAAAACAATGAATAAATGGGATCTACTGAAACTGGGAAGCTTCTGTAAAGCAAAGGACACTGTCAGTAGGACAAAAAGGCTGCCTTCTGACTGGGAGAAGATCTTCACCAACCCTTCATCAGACAAAGGTCTGATCTCCAAAATATACAAAGAACTCAAGAAACTAGGCACTAAAACTCTAATTAACCCAATTAAAAAATGGGGTACTGAACTTAACAGAGAATTCACAACAGATGAACTTCGAATGGCCAGAAGACACTTAAGGTCATGCTCAGCCTCCTTAGGGATCAGGGAAATGCAAATCAAAACCATTTTGAGATACCATCTTACACCTGTCAGAATAGCTAAAGTCAAAAACACCAATGATAGCCTATGCTGGAGAGGATGTGGGGTGAGGGGAACACTCATCCATTGTTGGTGGGAATGCAAACTCGTGCAGCCACTGTGGAAATCAGTGTGGCGGTTTCTCAGGAAACTGGGAGTCAACCTCCCTCAGGACCCAGCAATACCACTCTTGGGAATATACCCTAAAGATTCCCTAACATACTACAAAAGCATTTGTTCAACTATGTTCATAGCTGCACTATTTGTAATAGCCAGAACATGGAAACAACCTAGGTGCCCCTCAATAGAAGAATGGTTAAAAAAGGTGTGGAACATATATACATTAGAGTTTTACTCGGCGGTAAAAAACAATGCCATCTTGAATTTTGCATGCAAATGGATGGAAATAGAAAACGCTTTACTGAGTGAGGTAAGCCAGACCCAAAAAGAGGAACACGGTATGTATTCACTCATAAGTGGATTCTAACCATAATTAAAGGTCTTTGAGCCTATTATTCGTGATCCTAGAGAAGCTAAATAAGAAGATGAACCTGATGAAGATTATTTAGCTATCCACCAGGAGGTAGGAAATAGACAAGAGTCCCAGGTAACCTCGGGTGCATGGGGGGGTGGGAGG